CCAACAAATGCAATATACACTTTGACAGGTCGAAACGCATGCCATATGCCTCGGCCAACTTCAATTCCTGATGGAAAGCCTCCAAGACATCCGCAGCGTCGCCTCCAGAGAAGGCATCATCGGCATATTCAGGCTCAAATTCCGGCAACGGACGTCGGCAATTGGCTCAAGCTTCCGCCGCCCATCGAGCACGCGTCAAACAAAACAACGGTCCCATCAAGGGGCAACCTTGTTGTCCACGGGATGATTGCTCCGCCGTATGGAGAGATCAAGATCGTCCCCTCCAACGTATGGGGGGTCGTATCACGAAATATCTCATTCTCACCAAGTATCGCAAGATACACGAGGCCGACAGGCCGGGTTACGCTTTCCGAAGGGGAGATGAAAAGATCTATCCATTCGTATCTCTGTAGTCAAATTGAGTTCGAGAAATCATTAATGGTTTAATTCGAAGGATGTGTTCATTCTTCGAAATAACCTTTCTCCGAGAATTTCCGTATCCTGGATTAATTCGAAATAATTAGATATCCATTATTCATCAGAAAGATTTCCCTTCCTTCTAAATCTCATTTAGAATATTCTCGAATAGAAATCATACGAAGATCCCAATCTTTAATCCTTTAATAAATATCTCTCATTAAATATTATTTCTATATCTTCATTATTCTTATGATTTGTCAATCTCATTCAATATCAGAAATGAATTAAATCATTATCATCAATTGAAATATGAAGTTTTCATAATAAATCGAATTATTTCATATCATGCCTCATATGAAATATTAATTAATGTAGATCACCCGAAAATTAATTACCAATCAACCCCAAATGAAAAAAATCCCAGGAAATAATTTATTGTCCATCTCATTTTTCTAATTCTCGATTTTAGAATTTTTGAAATCAATTTTGAAATTATTTTATAGATCTTCCATATTATTAATTTAATCTATATCATGATATATCGGAGTGAGACCCATGCCAAAAGAAATTGTCCGATAAATAAAATCGAGAATTGGGTAGTATCATATTGTATTACCGAGATTTATAAATAGATAAATAATAACTTATGGTTTCCTTCAGTGTTCTTGCATATTTGCTTTAAATACAGGAGAAACAAATTATACGAGTATAAGTTTGAAATACCAAAAAGTGTACTCCCAGCGTCCCCCCACATTCCAAGCTTTTCACTTCTTAAGCAAGAAGTCGTCATCCGAATCGTCGCCAAACAGCGATGCCCTGCAAGAGAGAGAGAGAGACAAGGGCGAGATTATGAGCAACATCAGATCCATAGGCAAGTGCACATGCGCCATGAGACCGCTTTAGTGGATCGTTTTCGTCCGCCAGCTTCTCGCCGCAATTGCTTGTGGCAGGTTCAGGCATTAGTCACAGAAAAGAAAGCAGACGTTCGAGGCCACGAGCTTTCTCCACAAGTGTGAGTTCCGCTTTGATCGCACAAGTACCGTTAAAAGGTCCGGAGCTTCCCAGAGACTCCAAAACCCCTTAATTAAGGAATATACCTTAAATTATAATACCTTAATATGACTTAAGGTATATTCCTTAATTAAGGGGTTTTGGAGTCTCTGGGTTCCTGCTGACAGCGACCGCACTGGCAAACGAAGCCCCAATTCCCCAGCAAGTGCTGCTGGCGCTGCCGCAGAGGCTGCTCCACAAAGCCCGTGTTCCATCCTCCGTAGCAAAGGAAGATCTCCTCCTGTGAGCACAGCATGAAATCAACATCGTGGGTTCATGCTGTCTCGCGTTAGAAATAACACACCGCATCAGACTCCAGGATTCGAGCCATCGTTGAGTCGTTGAGCACAGGTCTGGCTTTGAGGCAATCCCCAAGCCCCATCTCCACAAACCCAAACAGCCTGCAGCAACTAGGGCGGAAGTCCTGAGGAGCAACGCTTTTTGTAGTCACGAGCTTTGCTGGATGGCCATCACCAACCATCCGTGCATTTGGGAGACATGAATGGTTGACGCGGGACATAATCTCGAAAAGCGCCGTGAGCCGATTTCCCTTTGGACCTGTCCGGAGCAGGCCCTTGCAACAAGCTACTGCATGTGCGATTGCATGACAGTGGAGGTTCTGCAACTGTCTGCCTGTGAACCGGAAGGAGTTGGACATGAGAACCATCTGGGCCAGCGCAGTCTCGCTCAGCCGCTCAGCAGGTGCTTGTAGTGCATGTGGAAGCTGGGCTGTGGGCAAGAAAGCGGGAAGCAGCTGGCTGCTGTGCGACAGGCACCTTGATCTATCGCCACATGCAGCTTCGGACGGCTTGCCGTCCTGTTTGAAGTGTGCAACCTTGCCGCAACCCAGCCTCAAGTTGCAGCGCATTGTGAACCTCTTGCGCTTTCGTGCCTGCTGCTGCGCCCTCGGAAAATTGGTGTGCAAATATTCTCTCCACACCGTCCTGCCAACGATGTGCATGATGCGGCTAGCATGGTATCATTCCAGTGTCTTGTGTGCCTGCAGCTACACGGAATCGTGCTTTCCCCAGCCCAGCTCCTGGCCAATTCTCTGGCAGGCATAGCGCCATGCTGCCACATAGCGTGAGCATTTCCGCTCAAGAATCTCTTCGTCCGGCCTTGCTGACGCGAGCATCAGTAAAATCCGATGCACAAACAGCCGCGCCTGAAACGCTGATTCCCACTTGGGCTCCCACATTTCGAAGAGCGGCACCTCCTCCAGTATGACCTGTGCCCGCTAAGAGTTGTCACATCTTCGTGCTGGAGCGTCTGCCCTGGTGATCAACTCATATGAGGCAGGGTATATATTACTGGTATTGGTGAGTGTATACGAGGTTCCTTTTTAATATTGGTGAGTGTATATACTTGGTGTCCTTTTGGGGATACAAGAAATACAAACCCTACTTCATATCACGAGTATCAACTCTCAGCTCGATTAGCTCCGAATGCCCAAGGGCTTCATAGGTTTAAATGCGAGTTTCCGAAATGACGGGGGTACCTTATTGGGGTCCTTATGACAAGCGAATCCTGCGATTTGGGGCTCTTTTTCGGGGTCCCCTATTTTCGTAAATCCCCATATGCTAACCCTAAACCCTAAACCCTAAACCCTAAACCCTAAACCCTAAACCCTAAACCCTGCTCTTACCCTTCGAACATCCTTCGAAGGCCTCGTCCATCGCCAAATGTCGCATTGCCACTAGGCGCTGCTCACCATCTGCGCAGCGCTCCACGGAGACTGCGTCCATTCAAATGAACTGGTTTACGGTTTAGGGTTTAGGGTTTAGGGTTTAGGGTTTAGGGTTGAGGGTTTAGGGTTCAGGGTTTAGGGTTTAGGGTTTAGGGTTTAGGGTTTTTAGGGTTTTTAGGGTTTTTAGGGTTTTTAGGGTTTTTATGGTTTTTAGGGTTTTTAGGGTTTTTAGGGTTTAGGGTTTAGGGTTTAGGGTTGAGGGTTGAGGGTTGAGGGTTGAGGGTTGAGGGTTGAGGGTTGAGGGTTTAAGGGTTTAGGGTGAACTCTGTGTATCCAATCTCTTCAATCCCATCCAATCTCATCCAATCTCATCCAATCTCCAGCATCTTCGCTGACATCTCTACCCGCAGAAGCACTGCTGACTCTAGCACGCAGGTTGTTGCGCTTCTCGCCAGACACTTTGTGGAGGCAGGTTCACTGCACGCTGAGGGTAGCCCATGCATCTTAAATCCTGCTGATATGTTGTATCTTCGTACATCGCAGTGCGGTTTCAGTGTTGCTTGAATGCTGGGTTCGTGATTCTCGGGGACTGCAGGGATGAAAGCGAGAACCTCCAAAGTGAAGCGGAGTCCTGGCTGCAGACATGATGCACAGCTCTAAGGTCGGTTTAGGGTTTAGGGTTTAGGGTTTAGGGTTTAGGGTTTAGGGTTTAGGGTTTAGGGTTTAGGGTTTAGGGTTTAGGGTTTAGGGTTTAGGGTTTAGGGTTCAGGGTCTAAGGGTTTAGGGTTTTAGGGTTTAGGGTTTAGGGTTTAGGGTGCTGCAGGATGCAATCCTTGTAGTTTTTCTTGTCTCTGGACATGTACAACAACGCCGAGGACATGCACAGAATTGAAATGCCTATGCCTATGCCACCCTTGTTTGCGATTTCCGCAAACAAAAGCCCATGAAAGCAATATGTACAGACCATCTCCATGGCAATCAAGCATCCGTCCTCAGGCCAGTGAGGCAGCACACTAAGAGAAGCTCGAGCAAGTGGTGGGATGAAGCGTGGGATGAATCAAGGCTGAGTTAAGCGCCGCCGGTAGTACTCGTCCTGAATCTCGAGCGTGCCGCCCGATTGGTTGCTTGTTGCATCCGCGGTCACCTCGCTATTCCAATCCTGCGCTGCCTGCCACACAGGGTGGATTGTTTACGGTGGCGGCTTGACCATCTCTTGTCTCGATGATGCCGCATCTTCATACACACACACACACACACAAACCATGCGCACTGAAGTCAACGTGCTGATGAGGTGAACACTTTGTCTTCCTGCGAGTGGAACCGTTGAGCATTGTCCAGAGTCGATGCTCCTCCTTTGAGTAGCCAAACCGAAAGTATCGGATAAGAATGAACATTCAGTCCAACTTTGTCATCTTGTTGATGCTCCAACACATTTTCCAACCCCCCCCCCCCCACATATGACAGCCACGAGTAATTACATGCTTTCCGCTTCGAATAGCTGAAAGTTCGCAAACTTCCGGAGCTTGAAAAACTGAAGCGGGAGAGAGCTTCAAAATCTCAAGACGTGAAGATCTACCATTCATCGTATCTACATCACTTAAATATGCATCAATAATTCCCTAAACCCTTAACCCTAAACCCTAAACCCTACACCCTAAACCCTAAACCCTGAACTATACACCCTAAACCCTAAACGCTAAACCCTAAACCCTAAACCCTAAACCCTAAACCCTAAACCCTAAACCCTAAACCCTAAACCCTAAACCCTAAACCCTAAACCCTAAACCCTAGACCATACAATACGCACGCAAGAGAGCAAGCACGGCAGAGCCGGCTTTCGAGCTCGAACGCTTCAAGGCGTCGAGTTTGGAGGTCGAGAACTTTTCGAGCTGAAAGGCCTCAAAAGTCTACGATTTGCTTAAGAACCCCCCCCCAAAAAAAAAAAAACTCTTCATATAAGAGCAACGTGGAGATTATGTTTTTTTTTTTTGGGGGGGGGGGGGGGGGGGCGGTTCTTAGGCAAATAGTAGAAGTCTGAGTGTTTGAGAGCTTGAGAGATTGAGGATTCGATAAGGTCAGGAGTTTGAGAGTTTGAGACTACGCGAGCTAGAAAAGAGTTTGAAGCTTCACATCTGAGGTTTGACGACACCCGAGCTCGAAAAGTTTGCTACCAGTACCTTGAACGTGTCGGAGATTCACAAGTTGAAGGTTTGTATCACTGCGAGTTTGAAAGTCTGACGGGGGTCTGAAAGAGATGATCTTGCACACTGCAACGAAACAAAGTGGACTGGAGAGCACTTTATCCGTAATCCAAAAGCGGCAGGATGGCTCCCACGTCTATTTTCATTTTCTTAGTTTATTCATATATTTATTTCTTCATGTAGTACTTTTTACGAATGAATATATGAATACGTACATTTTTGTAATTGTTGCTTGTGTTTTTTGTTGGGGGGGAAGGTGGAGAAGATGGCCCATTCTGAAAGTGTTCACAGAAACGGGTTGGGTTGGAAAAAAGACCAGTGACCCCAAGCTGCATCAGCGGAGAATCCAGGCTATCAGATTGCTAGGCCTTCACGCCTGAGCTTTGCACATGCTTTGCACGCCTGGCAACACCTTGGACCTTGTCCTGGTTTGAACTAGCAGTGCGTTTTGGACGAGAAGCCGTGGACTTGGAGCAGCCACCCTGACCCTCATACGAGCACGTGCCCGTGTGCTTTGTGCGGAGCCATGACACTTGCAGCTGATAGTTCATGTCGTAGGCTTTTATTGCTTAAAGGTATGGGCGAGTCGGCGAGTCAGTGCGGCCACATGTCTGCAGGCATTTCCCTTGGCCTCCATGGGAGTCCCATTGCAACTCTGATCACACTGTTCTCGTGGACTGCTCTTGAACACGAAGGCCACCTAAGTGGGCCATGAAAACGAGTGCTCTGCTTGGCAATTCGTGTGCAAAGGTGACATCGCTGAATACGTCTGGCGAGCTATAGACATTCGACCTGTTCCGGGGTCTCGGCACAAGTGAAACTACGAAGCACCTACTCGTCATGCCGAGATGTTTGCAAAGCGCTGTCAAGTTGCGCTCGCCAACCCACAGCAGGACACCGCGGCAAGGTACACACAGGCCCATCTGTAAGAGGTGTGGTCCTGGGCAGATGGCACACGGAGCTGAGCAGAGTGCAGACATTGCCTGATATTGCCCCAACCTACTGCGGAACTCGGCCCGTGGTACCAGGAAGCCCAGAAGGGGACTGTGTTGTTCTTTCGGGGTCATCAAGCGGAATCAAGCATTGCTTAGCGGCTGAGCGTTGCGCAGCTCTACAAACCGCCAAGGGTGCAGGGAAAAAGTAGCCAAAGGTTCAGGCAACGTCTAACCAAACCTCGAGGTACCAGAGCTTGCCAATTAAGGATGTGATCAGCTTAACCACTTTTATCCATACTTCATTTCCTGCGGCTCTCGCAAACACATCGCTTGCCAACTTGTTTGGGGGCACCCCCCCCCCCCACTTTGGGGGTAGGACTCCACCAGTGAACGCCGCAGTCCTTGATGATGCCGATGGTAAGGTTCGAGACAATCATGCTCGTCCCCGAACCGACTTGGTTCAGGCCCACCGCCAAGCTTTCCATTTTCTTTTGAAGCTCAGCTGGCGCCACGGCTGCTATGACCAGAGGCAGCGAACTGTAGGAAGCACACACAGATACCTGAGAATGAGTCACTTTGCCACTTTCGAGAATAGCCACTCGGCTGCGAGAATGATTGCACATCCGGCTGCTTGTTTTTTCCAAGGTGCCGCGTACCCCATGCCCACGAGCACAATGCCAAGAACGGCCCATCTCAGCACAGCAATGACAAAGAATGCCAGAGCCAAAAACACCATTCCCGTTCCTCAGATCCCATTGCCAACAAAACAACGATCTACATGCGCTCCCATGTAGCTCCTTTTCAGAGTTATTCTACACAATCGTGATGGAGAACAGCAACTGGCTGTTGGCATTCGTGAGGCGGGCGGCCAAATGCAACAAGCTTTTGTGTCAATCTGGATCCGAGGAATGGCGCCAAAGCCGGGCTGCAGATTGAAATCATGGGAGCCAAGGCAATGATGAAGCCAGCGTCGTCTGCTGAGTATCCGAACTCTTTCTGGAGCATGTCGTTGCCAATCACTTCAAAAGGAAAGACGACACCCCAAATTGCTGCAATACCTGACAAGAACACGAAGACCTCAGCCGCTGGCTTTGACTCTTGTGTTCTACTCAATGGCTGCTTCACTTTCCTTACTCCATCCTTGCCCTTACGAGAAGCAGCCGCACCTATTGGTAGCGGCGCAAGAACGCTACAGCCAGCTGACTGGGGCAGTGGCAAGCTTGGGGACCTTCCGAACCAACCCCAGCTCTATGCTGGATGGCGTCTGATGCCGCTCTAGCATGGGGCGAACAGCTCGGGCAGTTGCAGTCCACTGAAACAAATAGCCAAAGAGTAGCGTAGAAAAGAAGGCAGCCACAACCAGCATTACCTTGGAACAATGGCTCAGGCACCAACATCGCACATTCCCGTGCATGATTATGCCTTCAGAAAGCTGCTGTGACGTGTACCTCGGTGCTTAGGAAGAGCGCTTGTTTCTGCACCAGTCTCACCGCCGTTGATATGGTTGCCGAGCCGCCGAGAACCAGAGGGAATCCAATACGCCAAGGCTGCGAAGAAGGGGACCAGACATGGGATAGGACATACTTCCTGAAAACCGAAAAACTCTCCAAATATGCTTACGTCTCAAACTGTCACTCCAAGCCACGAGCATGGACGCACACCTACTCTCATGGGCCACCCATAGTGCACTTGAGACTAATCCGTCTCGAGGGAAGCTTTGCTGCTGCTTCCTGTTCTGCCCTTGGGTTGCAAACAAAGCTTGGCTTGGATAAGCCAGCTGTAAGAACCCTCTGAAATCCTGAAGACCCCTGCACGGGTGCACATGCCGATTTGCCAACTCGCACTGTCCTGATGAGTTCCTTTGCCCCTCACTGCCTGGCCTCCCAGACGGATCGAAAGCACGATCGTGGTCATCGCACAATTCAAGTTTCTTCCTCGTGGCAGCCAGCTTTTCGATTAAAACCACCCAAACTGAGCTCTAACAAAGGAGAAGAAAGCAAGTTGCCCAATCCTATGCCGAAGTTGTCAATGTATGTTCGCTGTGCTACTGGTTCCGCATGTTCAAAATGAACCTAAAGAAGGGCAGGCTCGGGCTCGTGGTCTGTGCAACGACACGAGAGACCCTGTTGCAGCGCCAGTCCTTTGTAAAGATCGTAAGTCAAGATAGTCTGCACCATGAGCAAAACCTGCAGTCTTCAAATTCAGAACGGCTGATGCTTGATCGGATAGCACTGACTAGTAGACTTGCTCAACACATTACTGAGCATTGCTGGACACCACAGAAACCGAAATGGGAGTCACGCACGGCATTTCAGCCGAGTCGCATTCAGGCCAAACCAAAACAGAAGTCTGCCCAACAGCATCAGCGCCAGACTTCCCCATACATATCCGACTGTAGTGACGCTGGAGCCTCTGACAAACTAGGGAGAGAGAGAGAGAGAGACAGGCCTGCAGCCTAACAGGAATAACCTGGCTGGGTTGTTTAAACATAGTTCTTTTCTGGACGCTACCGCTCGCAGTGCCTTCAGCTAACATATGCAGCCAGGCGGGAGCGTTTCTCGCTGCTTTTTTCCATGAAGTTTCGTGACGGTCATGTCGCCAACATATTGTATGTTCACACCTTGGTGCCGACCCGGACAACCTGGAAATCTTGCTGTTTCAGGACGTCGGGAGGTCAATTTCTGTGCGTTTCTGCAGTTTTGTTGAACACAAACGGTTGTGGCGTCGAGAATAATCAAGCTGATACCGCCCAACCATTGCATCAGACTGTGTAACTAGGCAAAGATTCGGCGCTCTGGGACATCTGCGGACGAAAGCCGTGGGGCCGTTTCGGCGTGTCTGGCATGTCTGGGGATGTGCATTCTGAGTGCTTGGTGGACGTCCTTCCGCGCCGAACCCTGGGCACGCTGGAAGCAACTGGTGGACCGGCAGCCCAGCAAGGCTGTAACTCGAATAACAAGAACCGCGACACATTCTTGGAACAAATCAGTCAAGCACGATGTGCCTGAACACAGGGCCCCCTTCTTCTTCTCTTGAGCCCTACTTGCCTTTCTATCTTGCGGCCTGGTTTGCGGAATTCTGCTTAGTGACGCCGCGGCAACAAGCTTCGACAACCTTCATGTTTCCTCACAACTACGGTACGGGTGCAGCGACCATGCACGGCTAAGATCCGTCGCGCCTATGGCGGCCATAAAGCTTGCTGCTATTGCACTGCTTGTCCGCCCCACACGAGAGATCAGCAAGCCTCGAAAGACACATGTGCACAGCGCACAGACTCGCGATTCCGTGCAAGGCTGGACCATGCTGGACCCAAGCAAAGAGCCTTTGTGTTTCAGATAATAATAATACTAATAATGATAATAATATTAATAATACAATATTTATAATAAAGGTATACAATGTGTCATATATATATATATATATTTTTTTTAATTGATCATTTTGTACCGAGCCAAGCCACTGCCCGGAGAGCAAAGAACCCCTGGCCGCAGCTGAAGTTCAGCTGTTTACAGGGGGGTTTAGGGTTTAGGGTTTAGGGTTTAGGGTTCAGGGTTTAGGGTTTAGGGTTTAGGGTTTAGGGTTTAGGGTTTAGGGTTTAGGGTTTAGGGTTTAAGGTTTAGGGTTCAGGGTTCAGGGTTTAGGGTTTAGGGTTTAGGGTTACACACTGTTATGCTGGGAGTTCTCACAGTTTTCCGGCCGCGTCAGCGAAGCCGTAGAACCCACTACCTCAATTTGGCTACATCTTCCTTCGGTTGAGGTTAGAAGCGGGTTTGTCAGACAACCGAAAGACCTACGTCACAGAGCTGTCTCAATTTCATACCCTCGGCGCCTGTGAGCGAGCTAACCACGAACAGCGAGGCAAACTGGGAGTTGCTCAAGTGCATGCTATCCTTGGCACAGCTGGACAGTGCATCTCTAAACCCTAAACCCTAAACCCTAAACTCTAAACGCTAAACCCTAAACCCTAAACCCTAATTTCTGGCTTGTGCTGCCCAGTAGCAGAGATGGGGCCCTTGAAGCTCTGCACCAGGCCATCCTAAACAGGATCGGGGAGGGGTTGGGGCAGGCAGGGGCGGATACTTTGAAGCGTTCTGCAAGCAATCACTTGAGACCGGTGTCGTGGAAATAGGAACCTGGGATGAAGAGGCAAATGAGCGTCAGCAAGATGTACTTGTGCAAACCTCGCAAGATGCCGCAAGTATTTGGAAACTATTTAAGCCTGTAAGCATTTCACTTGTTTGCAACCAGCCTGTAAGCATTTCACTTGTTTGCAACTGTTGTGAAATTGTTGAGAACCGCCATGCCTTTCTAATCCTCGCTGTGTCTCATCAGAAGGCACTGTGCGCACCGGCTCAGGGCATGAGAGTGTGTGGCCTCGTCTTGGGTCGACAAAGTACTTGGCTACCCGTCTTCCGCAGCAGGCGCTGCATGGAAGGAGGAACGCAATCACCAAAAGCCTGGTAGCTTGCAAGCACACGCGGGAGATCCACAGACCTGATGCTTTGCACGATGCGAACTTGCCAGTCATGCAGCAGCGCCAATGCCCAACCACGCATACTCCCGTTCTGCAGCATGTGGCCGCGCCCTCACTATGCATGGCATCGTCAGCCCAATCTTGGAGTGAGAGCAAATTCTGGTGTAAGTTGATACAATGAGCGCTAAGTTAAGTGCGTATCCAATCTGCATTTGCTCAACTGAACAAGCAAACTGAACAAAACGAAAATTGCTGAAACTAATGACCTGCCGTGATCTTGCTTTGATGTTTGCTGGGCAGGCAATGGCTGTGGGTCGCGGCAGCGTTGTCCAGGCATTCCAAGTGACATCACTAAACTATACTGATCTTGAAACCCCGGCAAATATTACAATCTTTGCTGTTTCTAAGGAATGATAGTACCCAAAAAATAAATTCGCAAACATTATAATCTGTGTTGTTTCTTAAGAATTCTGGTACCCAAAAACTAAATCTTCCAAGCACCCCTAAGTAAACTCCGCGGCGGACTCCCCTAAACCCTAAACCCTAAACCCTAAACCCTAAACCCTAAACCCTAAACTCTAAACCCTAAACCCTAACCCTAAACCGCCCATGCCTTGTCTTGCTGGGTGACGAAGTCTTCTTTGGCTTGGCCGCGAAGACCTCGCACGATTTGGGCATGGGTGGCTTTGTCGTTTATGATTATGATTATGATGATTATTATTATTATTAATATTATTATGATTATTATGATTATGCTTATTCTTATTATTTGATGACAGCGTCAGCCGCATGTGGCCTCGTCATCGTCATCATCGAAAAGGGATGCGGCAGAGCCGCGTGTAGATTTTGGCGGACCGAAAAGTCTGTCCTCACCGCTCACTTCCTATGGTCGTCCCTTCCTACGGTCACCATCGTGCGCAAAGTTGAGAGGAAGCAAATAAACATTCTTGGGAGAAGAAGCTGCATAGTCAAAATAGACCAGCCGGAGACATGCTTAGAATTTCCATTCGGAATCCTTGACGACAAACCCAAACTTGCCCATGCAGCCTACAAACTATCCCACCAGCCATGTCTACCCTAAACCCTAAACTCTAAACCCTAGACCCTAAACCACATCTTACGAGCAGATGGATAGGGAGGCCTCTGGCGTCTCCGCCCTTTCAGTCGTTTTCGAGCTTTCTCGGATCTCGGATGTCCTGTGCATGTGAGCTGTCAGCAAACATGAATCCAGCGATTAAGAGTCATGTCTTGAACCTATGAAGGCGCATACTTTTGGCTTCGATCGGGCCTCTTCTTTTCCTCCTCACCCTCGGGCAACTGTTCTTGCCCTTTTTCATCTGACAGGTGAAGTTGCTCCTTGCTTTGTTGCTTCTCATGAGGAACATCTGGCTCTGGAGGGACTCTCTCCGGAGCTTGTGGTGATCTGTCTGTGCTCGTGCTGGACTCCTCATGAGTCGATGCTCCATTTTGCACCGCAGGAACGCCAGATACGCCAGTCGCTTCTGCACTTGACCTCCCGTGCCGTTCTTCTTCATGTTGTTCCACCTTCGGCCCTGAAATCAACTCTGCTGTGCTGCGCTCTTGAAAGGGGGATGCTTCTTGCTCGGCTGCTTCGGGCTCGTGCGTGGAGCATCGTCTGACGGCGCTGTCTGCTTGCACCTCCGGTTGATGCAAGCTTGCATCCCCGGGAGTCCACTCTGCCAGATCCTCTTGCTGTGATGTCGCCGCTTGGTGGCCGTTGCACCTCGGGCATTCCAAGACAGTCTCGGACATGGCAACATGCTTGCGTCGCAGGACTACTGCCGCCATCCTCCTGAAGGCCTACTTGACCAAAGGTTAAATTGATACAAGTAGCAGCAAGGGACAGGGTGAACGGCTGACACTTAAAACATCAGGCCTTTGAAGTACAAGTGTGGACGCTCATGCAAAGTTTGCACAAGAGAAACCCGAGGTGGATTGCACGTTCTTGCTCTCAACCGCCTATGACAACCCTAAATCCTAAACCCTAAACCCTGAACCCTAAACCCTAAACCCTAAACCCTAAACCGATCGGGCGCCATCCCCTCCGAGCTTCTTGGGTCCCATTGCACCTCACCGAGCCTCCAATCCTCCCCCCGTCTCTCCTTAAAGACACCGGCTTCGAGCGCCTGCTCGAGGGTCGTCTTCTCTGCATCCGCAAATGGAGTTATAGCTTTTGTGTCATCTATGACAAAACAAGATCTTTGATCTACGCTGCTTCATCCCAAAATGAGCTCCTTCGCGGAAGGAGTGTTTTTGCAGTCCGTATTTCCAAGATGAGCATTGTCCTTGCAACGGCCGCCATTGGTTGACGCGGGACTCGCGCGGGTCTACCGACGTGAGGACTTCGCACTTGCCTGCAAGACGAGAAGGATAAACGCAACCCGAGTTTGGTTTCTAAGCTGCTCCAAGCCACGGGTTTCGGCTAGCACCGTAGGACAGAAACGCGATTACGTAATCACTGTCACGAAGATTTTGCCTTTCGCCGTGCCATCGCGGATCTATCGCAGTGGGACATCTTCATGTTGTGCGGGCCACGGCTGTCAAAACTTGCCAAAAAGGACCTTCAGATCAACTGTCAACTTGCTCATATGCCAAGGCCCAGACTGGGGCGCATCTGACACTTGCCGACTGACCAGCAGGGGTGTGCCCAGATCATCGGGCAGGCAAGCCTACTGTTCTGCAGCAGCTGACGCACCAAGAGATTTGGTTGACATGGCACACAACGCTCGCTTTGAGCCCTTTTGCTCGTTGCATTCCCGCCTTGGAGCTTTCCAACGCTTCTCTTCCTCGCACGTTTCGCGAGCGAATCTAGCACCCGCGCCACCACGAGGCCGTGATGCGATGTGACACAATGTGACGACGAGACGACAACCGAAACTGTGCTGCCGGGAATTGTCTCTGGCACATGTTGCACGAAGTATGCGCCAAGCTTTCCGTGAACTGGGTGGCCCAGCGCTCGCGCTCTTCTCGCAGCTGCTCTCGCAGGAGATGGAGTTCTTCATCTCCTGCCTCACACATGGTGCTCACATGTTACCCAACATCACTTCGCATACCCAACATTCTGGCGGCCTGCTGTGTGTGCAGCTGTTCCCGCAGATCGTCTGACACGGTCCTCATCTGTTCCGGCCATGCTTCAGGTCAACACGAACCATCGCTGCTCCCTGAGGGCAAGACCGCTCCGTGTGGATCTGCTGCTGGCATGACCGAACTTCGGCACGAAGCCTGCGCACAGCGGGCGAAAAGGATGTCACCATACGTGGAGCCAGAAATAGCTGCCACATGCTACGTGGATCCAGCTGCACTCTGGGCCAATTCTGAGTCCGTAATCAGTCGCAACGAGGGGTCTGGCCTGTCGAGCTCTATGCTCTGCTGCTTCACCTGCCATTTGGGCCGTTGCTGAGGTGACCAGGCTAAGGTGATTCCTCTGATCCTCTGGGAACCTCGTCCTGCAGTAACTTCTCCGCAGCCGGCGCATCTGTCGTTTCTTCTGCCTCTGGGACAGACAATCCGTGTCAAGACACACCGGTGGGGCCAGGACTCCTACTGGAACTTGTATGACATATCCGAGCTGCCACAGACCTCCCTCACTAACATCATGCAGCATGCACGACTGGTCTGGTCCATCACTTGGATTCCCGCCTTGGAGCTTTCCAACGCTTCTCTTCCTCGCACGTTTCGCGAGCGAATCTAGCACCCGCGCCACCACGAGGCCGTGATGCGATGTGACACAATGTGACGACGAGACCACAACCGAAACTGTGCTGCCGGGAATTGTCTCTGGCACATGTTGCACGAAGTATGCACCAAGCTTTCCGTGAACTGGGTGGCCCAGCGCTCGCGCTCTTCTCGCAGCTGCTCTCGCAGGAGATGGAGTTCTTCATCTCCTGCCTCACACATGGTGCTCACATGTTACCCAACATCACTTCGCATACCCAACATTCTGGCGGCCTGCTGCGTGTGCAGCTGTTCCCGCAGATCGTCTGACACGGTCCTCATCTGTTCCAGCCATGCTTCAGGTCAACACGAACCATCGCTGCTCCCTGAGGGCAAGACCGCTCCGTGTGGATCTGCTGCTGGCATGACCGAACTTCGGCACGAAGCCTGCGCACAGCGGGCGAAAAGGATGTCACCATACGTGGAGCCAGAAATAGCTGCCACATGCTACGTGGATCCAGCTGCACTCTGGGCCAATTCTGAGTCCGTAATCAGCTGCCTTCCCTGATCCTCGCAACGAGGGGTCTGGCCTGTCGAGCTCTATGCTCTGCTGCTTCACCTGCCATTTGGGCCGTTGCTGAGGTGACCAGGCTAAGGTGATTCCTCTGATCCTCTGGGAACCTCGTCCTGCAGTAACTTCTCCGCAGCCGGCGCATCTGTCGTTTCTTCTGCCTCTGGGACAGACAATCCGTGTCAAGACGCATCGGTGGGGCCAGGACGCCTACTGGAACTTGTATCATATCCGAGCTGCCACAGACCTCCCTCACTAGCATCATGCAGCATGCACGACGGGTCTGGTCCATCACTTGCATTCCCGCCTTGGAGCTTTCCAACGCTTCTCTTCCTCGCACGTTTCGCGAGCGAATCTAGCACCCGCGCCACCACGAGGCCGTGATGCGATGTGATACAATGTGACGACGAGACCACAACCGAAACTGTGCTGCCGGGAATTGTCTCTGGCACATGTTGCACGAAGTATGCACCAAGCTTTCCGTGAACTGGGTGGCCCAGCGCTCGCGCTCTTCTCGCAGCTGCTCTCGCAGGAGATGGAGTTCTTCATCTCCTGCCTCACACATGGTGCTCACATGTTACCCAACATCACTTCGCATACCCAACATTCTGGCGGCCTGCTGCGTGTGCAGCTGTTCCCGCAGATCGTCTGACACGGTCCTCATCTGTTCCAGCCATGATTTAGGTCAACACGAACCATCGCTGCTCCCTGAGGGCAAGACCGCTCCGTGTGGATCTGCTGCTGGCATGACCGAACTTCGGCACGAAGCCTGCGCACAGCGGGCGAAAAGGATGTCACCATACGTGGAGCCAGAAATAGCTGCCACATGCTACGTGGATCCAGCTGCACAGCTGGGCCAATTCTGAGTCCGTAATCAGCTGCCTTCCCTGATCCTCGCAACGAGGGGTCTGGCCTGTCGAGCTCTATGCTCTGCTGCTTCACCTGCCATTTGGGGTGACCAGGCTAAGGTGATTCCTCTGATCCTCTGGGAACCTCGTCCTGCAGTAACTTCTCCGCAGCCGGCGCATCTGTCGTTTCTTCTGCCTCTGGGACAGACAATCCGTGTCAAGACGCATCGGTGGGGCCAGGATGCCTACTGGAACTTGTATGACATATCCGAGCTGCAACAAGCCTCCCTCACTAACATCATGCAGCATGCACGACTGGTCTGGTCCATCACTTGGATTCCCGCCTTGGAGCTTTCCAACGCTTCTCTTCCTTGCACGTTTCGCGAGCGAATCTAGCACCCGCGCCACCACGAGGCCGTGATGCGATGTGACACAATGTGACGACGAGACGACAACCGAAACTGTGCTGCCGGGAATTGTCTCTGGCACATGTTGCACGAAGGTATGCGCCAAGCTTTCCGTGAACTGGGTGGCCCAGCGCTCGCGCTCTTCTCGCAGCTGCTCTCGCAGGAGATGGAGTTCTTCATCTCCTGCCTCACACATGGTGCTCACATGTTACCCAACATCACTTCGCATACCCAACATTCTGGCGGCCTGCTGTGTGTGCAGCTGTTCCCGCAGATCGTCTGACACGGTCCTCATCTGTTCCAGCCATGCTTCAGGTCAACACGAACCATCGCTGCTCCCTGAGGGCAAGACCGCTCCGTGTGGATCTGCTGCTGGCATGACCGAACTTCGGCACGAAGCCTGCGCACAGCGGGCGAAAAGGATGTCACCATACGTGGAGCCAGAAATAGCTGCTACATGCTACGTGGATCCAGCTGCACAGCTGGGCCAATTCTGCTTCCCGGATCCTCGCAACGAGGGGTCTGGCCTGTCGAGCTCTATGCTCTGCTGCTTCACCTGCCATTTGGGCCGTTGCTGAGGTGACCAGGCTGAGGTGATTCCTCTGATCCTCTGGGAACCTCGTCCTGCAGTAACTTCTCCGCAGCCGGCGCCGCCTGACGGCACAAGACGGAACCTCATTAGGATGTGATGAAGTTAAGCACATAAGACAAGCTCGATGCCTTCATGCCAGATGCAGACCTTGGGCCACGGAAGGCGTATTGAAATTCTGACAGGGCCAAAGGGACGTGACCGAGGCCCTGCGGCGACTTTGCGGCAACTTGAATCCGTGGGCAATCTCGAGGGTATGGCTCAGTCCCGCTTGGATCTGCACTTGGCTTGCGAAAGGCGTCTTCAATCTTTCCAGTCTCGTACGCATTCATTTCTTGTGTGAGGTCATTTCCTTCGGACTCCGGCTGCAAGTTGCAAAGGGTTGCAAGCCTTAGGCATCTGTGGTTGTCCTGTTGTGGCCGCTTCAGGACGTGCACGTGCTGTGCAAACCCTAAACCCTAAACCCTAAACCCTAAACCCTAAACCCTAAACCCTAAACCCTAAACCCTAAACCCTAAACCCTAAACCCTAGACCGGTCTCTGGGACTTGGGCCCCAGGTCTGGCAAAGCAGTCGAACCTCAGACATCCCGTCACAAGCGACACGCGAAGCTCTGCTCATGTGAACAACACACAGGCTTACGAAAATCAGAGGGCCCCTTATACAGACCCCCCAAGTAGTAGGGTTCCCTTTTTATAATCAAACCCCAGTAGGGCACCCTAACTTCGGAAACCCGCAAGTTATAGGGTTCCCTTTTAATCAAACCCCAGTAGGGTGCCCTTACTTTCGGAAACCCCCCAAGTTCACCTACAAGAGGGCATCTCACCCAAAGGCAGAGGTCCACATCAAGGGAGCCGGCCCAGCTCTTCAAGCGTCTTCGATTCCACGGCCTGCTTTAGGGTTTAGGGCTTAGGGTTCGGGTTCAGGGTTTAGGGTTTAGGGTTTAGGGTTTAGGGTTTAGGGTTTAGGGTTTAGGGTTTAGGGTTTAGGGTTTAGGGTTTAGGGTTTAGGGTTTAGGGTTTAGGTTAGGGTTTAGGTTTAGGGTTTAGGGTTTCGGGTTTAGGGTTAGGGTTTGGGTTTAGGGTTAGGTTAGGGTTTAGGGTTTTTAGGGGTTTAGGGTTTTGGTTAGGGTTAGGTTTAGGGTTTAGGGTTTAGGGTTTAGGGTTAGGGTTTAGGGTTTAGGGTTTAGGGTGTAGGTTTAGGGTTTAGGGTTTAGGGTTTAGGGTTTAGGGTTTAGGGTTTAGGGTTTAGGGTTTAGGGTTTAGGGTTTAGGGTTTAGGGTTTAGGGTTTAGGGTTTAGGGTTTAGGGTTTAGGGTTCCTTTTTGCCAGGGGCATGCTTGCGCACAGGTGACTCAGGAAAACCAGACTGCGCACTTGAATCGGTCTCATTTGTGCTCAATCTTCTCGATCGTTTTCCATCGCCCCCCCCCCCCCCAGATTATGTTGTTCGCCTGAGATGTCTATCCCCCAAAGCAGTGTGCCAACATTTGGGGCTTAGGGTTCAGGCGCTTTAGGGTTTCCCATCCATAAATACCTACACTGTAGGCTCGCAGCCTCTCCCTGCAACGCCAGTTCGTGTGGGGTGGGGATGTGCGAAACATGCCTGTGCTGTTTCATCTGCTGCTGGATTCTGCCTTCGGATTTTTCTGGAACCGGATTCCAGACTTTGAGAAATGGCTCAGGGATCCGTACTCTTCCATACCCAACTAAGTCGTATGGAGTGGTTCGGTGAGAAAAGGTGTTGGGGAAACAAAGGTTTTGGGGAAACGCCTTGAAGTCGCTTGGAAACCCGACAGCCTGAATTGAAGGTTTAAAGAATAGGTGGTTTCTCGAAGACAAGCCTCCACATTGCCTCAAGGCTTCGAGAGACAGTGCTCTGCATATCACTGGGGTCTCATGATCCAGTGAAATGTTCGTAAAGATGATACGGGAAGAGCGCAGCCAACCACAGCACAGCACCGGGATCTGGCGTTTCCTAGCGAACTGTACCAATTGCATAGTGGCATGGTGGCCTCCCAGTCGATGTCCAACGGGGTCGGCCCAGACTCAGTCCACGAAAGGGCATGGACCTCGTGCACAGAACTGCGCTTTCATGTCGAGGCGGAACATTCTTTAAACAACATGTCGTCACCCAACTGGATGTGAGAGCGCTGTGCATTCAGTGCTCGGCAGATTGCAGCTGCTGCCTTTGCTGCGGGATGTGACGCCCACCCGAAGGAATGTGCTTTATGTGAATCATTGAGCTGCGCATTGCTCATGTTCTCTGAGCTTCCGGGCTCGAGAACTCGACCACACTGGCGGCATGCCGCCCGAAGGCGCTGGGAGAGCCCCTCCAGGAAGGCAAAAGCAGGGGCCCACAAAACCACATAAACATGAGGATCCTACAAACCGGGCTATTTGGAATCCCGCTTAAACCCCAATAGTCGGATTCTTGTGTTTATGTGGGGTTTTTGGGGCCCCTAAAAAGCAAGACAGACTTGAGGGTCAGAATCTCGTTGCAGTTGCCATATTGCAGGCTGGCCGTATTCGTGCACCATTGATTTTGTTTCACGGATTGTGGTACAATGCACAGACTTGCCTGCACTTGATTTCTAAAATTGCATGATTATGTCGGTATATATTGAATATTCTACTATAACATATATTGTACATCAAAGACCATGTGCATTGTGTGTATATATATATGCACATATTGTATACATTGGACCATATGTTTTATATTACGTAATGTACACCATAAAAATTTGGACCAGTGCTCGTGAACTCTTCTATAACAGCAATGTACGTCTCTGACTTGCACGGTTCGCCCGAGAATTGCGAGGAGGTGTGAGAAAAGCGCAAAGTCCGCGCAAGTGGAAACCTTGACTGAGTGAGGCTCCTCCACTGCAACCAATGCCCCCGGACTTGTCGGTAGACTGCTGGCCACAGAGACCTGGCTACTTTGCAAGTACGCCGCCGCATCGGCAAGAAGCAGCTCTGAACCCTTTACTTGGAGGTTTCCGAAGTTAGGGGTACCTTATTGGGATCCTGAGTCTCAGGGAATCCTACTATTGAGAGTCTGTATAAGGGGTCCCCTATTCTCAGTAACTCCCACTCTTGCAGGCTCTCTGAGTTCTAGGCGTATGCCACGGCAAGCACACCTCTGCTCACAGCAACGGCCTCCAAGCACACATCTGAAGTGATGCTGGCTTCGCCTATGGTGTACTTGCTGAACCTAACGAGCCCTTCAGAAGCTCTGCCACACAGATTCGTGCTCACATATATGGGGAGGTTCCTAGGTGGAATCTTACATAATCTTGCAATGGCAGTGGAGAACGGCCCATGTCTACCAAGGGCCACCTACCGTCTGATTGGGAACATTGAGAAACATAGGAGCTTTGTCGACCCGGCGGCGCATCCGTCTCGTTTTCGTGATATTGGCCACATTCGTTGAGATCGACTCGTTTCAATGCACGTGTAGAACGGCGAGCGGACGTCGAACATTCAAACTTGTGCTTGGGCGACCAGACATGACAGCAAATAACGTCTGCACATGTTCTCAGTGCCATGTACCCTAAACCCTAAACCCTAAACCCCAAACACGAAACCCTGAAACCTAAACCCTAAACCCTAAACCCTAAACCCTAAACCCTAAACCCTGAACCCTGAACCCTGCACTCCACTGTGGCCTCGGAGCCGCGCATGCCTGCCAGCGTTGCCAGCTGCTGCCTCTGGAAGAATTCCGGAACGAAAGAACTGAAAGAGCTCGCGGAGACTCTCCAGAGAGCCCGATGCCCCTTAGTTTAGAGTTAGAATTACATAGGGATCCTTGTTGATTTTTTTTAAGGAATACTCCTTAGCTAAGGGGTATTGGGCTCCCAAAACCCTAAGCCCTAAGCCCTAAGCCCTAAGCCCTAAACCCTAAACCCAAGGGGTATTGGGCTCTGTGAGTCTCCTGAGGACGAAGCCTTAGCGTAGTCACCGCACTGTTCTGGTCAGCCAGCCGAGCCTTTCGCCAAGGGCATTGCCGGGGGTAATGGAGGGTCTTCGTCTTAGGGAGGCTTCGGGGTTTAGGGTTTAGGGTTTAGGGTTTAGGGTTTAGGGTTTAGGGTTTAGGGTTTAGGGTTTAGGGTTCAATTGCCGCTGCCCGCTGTGCCTCTGCCGCTGAGAGTGAGGCCGCGCTGCCGGCGGCCGCAGCGGCGGTGCACTCTGCCTAAATAGCGCATGGACATGCTCAGCGTGTTGCTTGGACCGAGCCTGAACAAAAGATGCAGTAACTGGCATGTTATCAAACCAGGCCCTTTTTTTGGAAGCTTCCCTGGTTTTTGAGCGCACTGGATGTGCCAATGAGTTGAACCAATTTTGTTTGGATGTACAACTGTGTGCTGTTTCGGGCACATCATTTTTGGTGCTGTGCAAAGGTGCAGCAAAAATCGAAACAAATGGCTACTCAACTGCCTTAAGTACGGCTCGCTGAGCGTCCTTTCTTGCAAATGTCCTCCTTCACAGAGACCAGGACCAAACGTGTGAACGACCCAGGGGACAACAAGAAAAAACAACACTGACAACAGTCGTTCCACCTAATGATAGAGCAAAGAGCACACTCGGAAACATGTAAAAGGGTGGGAGGGACGGGAAAAGACTCACTCTCCGCTTGCTCAGACCGAGTCTGAGCCAAAATGGCATACGGATAACATGATCTAGACACGCATGTAATCCGCATGTAAGTATGTTAACGGTGTCTGATTTGAACCCCGGGGCCCTTTAATACCTTTTAAAACAAGGTCGAGGCGCCGTCATTACACAAAGAGTCGTTCCACTCGGGCGAATGGTGAAGACATGTTCACTTAAAAACTCAACACATCGTGTGTTGAGATAGCCCTGTCACGGTCATTTTAACGTACCTGCGCACCAACGACCAAGAATTGGGGCACTGTCGGGCTAATGGGTAGCGCAATGTGCGACCATACCGCGGGCATGGAACACGGACCGACGTTGGACTTCATCGTCCGATCCCTACAGACTGCATCACCTAGATGGAAAGTCCGAGAGGTGTCTCAAGAACATGGAGGCTTGGTGCCCCGGTCCTCTGCGACACCGATGTTTGGCTTTGATGGCAGACTACTTCCAACTCGCGAGGCACCGATCGCTGACATGCTACCGGTCTGTCCAGTGACTTTGCGCCCGTGTCGTTCTTTTTGCGCCGGATGCCGGTTGGCCTCTCTGTAGTGTCCCAGAAGCAGTCAGGCACATCTTGTTGCCACGGTGTTGCCGGATCGCCCGCCATAGCGCCGCAGGAGGTAGCGTCGCTGCTGTCACCGGCATTGCGTTCTCCAGCTGCTGGCATCGGCTGGGTTGCACGCGCATGGGCCGCATCGATGAACTTTTGCGGCGGGCAGAGAACTGTCCGGGCGCATGGTCGCAAAGGCAGTTGTAGGCGACGGCTGCGTTGGTGGATGCGTCTCAAGCGACGAGGAGGTCGGCGGCATCGACCTGATTGCTTGCACCGGCGGACACCGGCAATCTCGATCTCAATCCGGTTCTTGTCCTCGCCTGGCTGAGGCGACGCGGAGCTCGAAGCCAGCCCGGTTGCAGTAGCGGTCGTCTCCGGTAGATGTGACATAGGGCTGAGGCGCGTGTCCCTGTTCCGAGGTCGTCCGTCATGGGACTGACCTGGACCAGGAGTTGCAAAGAGTATCTACCGAATTTGTCCTGGGCGGCAGAATCAAGGTCGAAGCCGAGCTTGGGGGAACTTGCTTGTGCCCAGTGTCATCACTTTGTTGCGAGGAGACGCGGGAGGGCCCCGAGCTGGATATTGATAGTGTTGGAGAGGCTCCGTCGCCTCGGTGTAGAGGATGTTGCCAATCGAGGTGAATGTTGGGTCGAAACCAATCTGTGTCTGAATATGTCCGGACCGACTGCTCAACACACGGCGGAAGCGTCCCGGCGTTGTAGGCTGCGTGATAGGTTGTGCACGTAGGATAGAAGTCGAAAATGAAGCTCTTTGCCCGACACGCGCTGGCACGCTGTTCGTGCCTGTACATGATTGCCTTGCTAGCATTGGCTTTGTCTGATTCAGGGCGATGGTCCGCCAGAGTGCGCTGTAAGCTAAGGGCCAACATGCGAGCGCCGTTGTACAAGCCGCCCAAGTGGCCTCAGCGAAGGTCCACTGGCGCAGCTTCGGGCAAACAGCTGCTGCTCTCGGACAGTGTCCCCGCCAGAACATCCGGCATGCCTGGGCAGATCTCATCTTTCATTTCTGCGGGGTATTGTTTGTGCAGTTCTTGCCGTTTCGAAGCTTCGACGTATCCGGGTAGTCGCGCAAGAGGATCAAATTCCAGCGGCGTCGCCAGTTGTCCGCTGAATGGCAAGCAGTCGAGTGACAGCGATAAGCCGGATGGCAAGTCTCCGCTCGTCAGAGAACGTACTGCTGCCAAGGGAATGATTCACTCTCCGTTTGCTCAGACCGAATCTGAGTCAAAATGTTATACGGATAACATGATCTAGACATGCATATAAGCCACACGCAAGTGTGTTAAGCGCGGCGTTATCATTACGCACACAAGTGTTTCACAACAAGACGGTGCCCCAGCGGGACGACATGATTGGACTGATGTACAGTACATGCAAGGAGTGCCTGGCACGGAACGGACTGAGCTTTGCACGCGCTGCTGACTGTCAAGGGCCATTGCGAGCTGCTCCTGGCAACGCACACACTATCTACTTTTCTCCGTGGGGCATGGGAAGTCAAGCACATTGTTGCACCTGTTTCACAAAAAAACTTCGCTCTTGCGCGAGTTTTCGTTTTTCTCAGAAACTGGACACCGTGCATGGGGCCAGTGCCGCACTGGTGCCGCCTGCATTGAGCGCTGCTCCAGACGAAGCTGATGTGCCTCTTTGAGGGTTTAGGGTTTTAGGGTTTAGGGTTTTAGGGTTTTAGGGTTTAGGGTTTAGGGTTTAGGGTTTAGGGTTTAGGGTTTAGGGTTTAGGGTTTAGGGTTTAGGGTTTAGGGTTTAGGGTTTAGGGTTTAGGGTTTAGGGTTTAGGGTTTAGGTTCTAGGGTTTAGGGTTTAGGGTTTAGGGTTTAGGGTTTAGGGTTTAGGGTTTAGGGTTTAGGGTTTAGGGTTTAGGGTTTAGGGTTTAGGGTTTAGGGTTTAGGGTTTAGGGTTTAGGGTTTAGGGTTTAGGGTTTAGGAAAAGAGCATAAGAGTTTCCTCTTGTGCACCGCTGAATCCCCTGGCTTCCAGCAATGCATGCCATACAAAGGGGCCTCAGGGCTGGCTCCGATCCGATGCTCTTGCTACTTGCTGCTTGCTTCTTTATCTTGTTGGGGGCTGTCGCCGCAACATGGACCCAAAGGGCATGGCTTTTCCAAGCCTTTCTTGGCTTTTCCAGGGGTTTCTTGACTGCTAAGTACCACCAACGCGATAAGCTGGCAAACCAGAGCTGCTGATTCACGCGCCAGTTCGCGAGGCTTAAAACTAGAAACCCAATCGCACGTGCAACTGCTTAGTCTTTCGTTCCTGTCCACCTCGGTGTCTGGCAATCGCATGTCACTTGCATGTAAGTTCAGTGCCTCTGCCGACATGTTGCGAAGCTCAGCTTCCACAGCTCTCTTCGCAGCGTCCAGCTCCCACTCCCTGCCAGGGACTGCTTGGGGACTGTCCGGGCCATCGTTCAGTCTTTGAATTATTTGATGATCATTGTGCCCTGCTTTGTGCAGCTGGTGGGTACGTGTGACGGCACATGCCGCCACCTCATTTGCCGCTCGCCATCCGCCCGCAGCTGCTCACGCAACTGCTGCCTGCCGTGGGACATCAACAGACGGATGCTCATGACCAACAGGGACGACCAGACTGTCACAGTCAAGGTATACCCAAAGAGCCCAATACCCCTTAATTAAGGAATATTCCTTAAATCATAATAAGGATCCCTTTTTTGTTTAAGCTATCTTCCTTAATTAAGGGGTATTGGGCTCTCTGGGAAACGCTTCAACACGCAAAGGTGGCTACCAAGCCCAAAGTGCCCCCAAAGTTTCCAAAGCATCCCAAGCTGCTCCCCAAAGAGGCGCCGAGATGCACAGGCGCACCAAGCTTTCCCCAAACCCTAAACCCTAAACCCTAAACCCTAAACCCCAAACCCTAAACCCTAAACCCTAAACCCTAAACCAAGCTTTCAGCGAAGCGGCTGGGCGTCGGCCAGCTGTGAGTGCTGCGTCCGCATGGCCTCCCGGAGTTGGTCCTGGATGATGGCATGGCATGAAGTTGCTGCAAGCTTTGTTGAAGGCACAGGGTTTACGGTTTAGGGTTTTTCTTGGGGGGGTTTAGGGTTTAGGGTTTAGGGTTTAGGGTTTGGGGTTTAGGGTTTGGGGTTTAGGGTTTAGGGTTTAGGTTTTAGGGTTTAGGGTTTAGGGTTTAGGGTTTAGGGTTTAGGGTTTAGGGTTTGGTTTCAAAACCCTGTGAGTTTGAGACAGAATGTTGGGATCTCTGCGCTGTGGCCTCTTGCAATGTGCCCCGGCGCCTGATGTAGCCTTGATGAGCGAAGCTGCTCCTCCAGCAAGGACACCTGGGTCGGATGTTGTGTTGGCTTATCATGGTCTATCGGCTGCACACACACACACACACACGGCTCACAGCAAAACCGCTGCGAAAGACATTTTTCAGCTGCTGAGAGCTGCAGGTTCCATGGGTGCGAACGTCGCAAAGTCCGCAAAAGCAGCCTCGGCGACGCCTTCGTCCTTCGGCTGTTTCTCCTGCTTCGCGTGCACCTGCACTTCCGGCTGGAGGTCGTCGTTTGGGTCTTCGCCCAGGATTCGAAAGCGCTCCACCTCTGCTGCGAGACGGACAGCAGAGGGACGCTTAGCAGGTTCTCTGGCCAGCAAACGAGGAAGCCAACGGAGCAGTGCTGGAGCGTAGCAACTGGCAGCATCTGCGGGCAATCGGTAGCTGGCTGTGATGTTCGCGCAAGTGGACTCCATGGGAAATGGATGCTGTGCTGTCATCGTCGCGAACAGAATGCAGCCCAAAGCAAAGATGTCCACCTTGGGTCCAATCTTCCATCTCAGGTACACGTCTGCCAATTCGGGCGCTCTATACATAGGCGTGCAGCGGCCATGAATAAACTCCTGTGCATCAAGCAGCAGCTTCTTGTCCGCACCATCTAGGTCGAAGGACCTCTCACTAGCAGAGCCAAAATCACCCAACTTCCACAAATTGTCTGAACCGAGGAGAACGTTCTCACTTTTTACGTCGTAGTGGATCAGTCCCAAGCGGCTTAAATAGGCAAGAGCCTGAGCAAGAGCTCCAAGAACTTCCACAATGACATCCTCTCGAAGGCAGGGGCAGCAGTTCTGAAATGGATGTTCACCCTTGGGCGCCGCAGCTATCACCTTCTCAATTTGTGCCAGTAGTGTGCCACCAGTGCACAACTCAAACAAGTAGACTGCTTCGCTGGTGTTGCCATTCTTCGTGATCTCGGCCCCCAGAAACCGCACAACATGTGGGTGGTCGCAAAGGCTGTTTAACAAGTCGATCTCCATGTTTGCCTTCTCCAAGGTGTCCTTGTCTTGAAGTAGAACTCTGCGAATGGCCAGCTTCTCGCCCGTCTCTGCATCAAAGCCGGCGTAGACGTAAGCGAAGCCTCCATCGGCAAGCAGCCGCTCCTGGTGCACCCTTCGGCCTGCAATGATGGAAGAGGGCTGCGCCGCGTCCTTCACAGCTTGCGCCGCGCCAAGTAGCCACTGCATTTTTGGCCCTACGTCATGATCTACGACCCTTTAAGAACGACGACGGGTTCACAATGGTTCATACTACAATGCCCATGCTTGCTGATGTCACGGTGAAGTACGCCTCTTTGCTAGTCACCTGCCACCTGCCCAGGAACAAGCTTCACGCAACACTGCATTCGCATTCAAGCAGATTCATGCAGTCAGAATGAGCCAGAAGCTGTGGATGGAAGAGCACGGGCACTGCTTCATGAAAACGATGCTTTCTGAAATTATGGAGAGCTTGCCCCTGCGTGGAGCAGGCTCCTGGGGCCCCACACCCGTCGTTCCAGCTTCTGTCGCTCTGCCTATGAGACGAGCCCCACAATTGCGACATGAGAGCACGTTCAGACTGCAACTGCCAGAGCCACACCTGCCAACCCTCCGGCGTGGCTTCTGCTCTGACCTCAGCAATTCAAGTCTTCAAGTCCTTCAAGTAGCATCTCTCAGGGTGACATGACAAACGGAGACTCCCAAGCCCGTTTCCAGGTCACGCATGGCCGCCATCAGCTCGCCCACTGACACGCTCGCCAGTGGCACCTTTTCTCTACCAAACCCAAAAGAAGCCGCTAGTGTACCCGATGCATGTCAGTCTGCACCTGGGGACAGGGCCCCAGACAAGCCCAACGTTGCGCTGCTGAGTCTGTCAGCCTCTGCGCAAAGAGATGTGGCCACCAGGACTTGGCAGATCCAAACACCCGACGGGGCGAGGCTGGCGCATCGCTCTTGGGAAGCGGATCTGTTCGCACAGTCGGCATGTGTCCTGGCTAGCCAGTGCGATGCTGCGGTTTCTTTCAGCAGGTTGCCCCTGGATTGCCATGTCCTGCAGCACTGAAACCTGCCTTCGCCATTTCGGCAACCCTGGGCGGGTGACAGAATTCCGTGCTGAGTGCAAGCACTCATCATGATTCATGTCACTCCATGTCTCATCTGTCTGGTGCTAATATGAGAGGCGCGGCTGATCCTGTGCAGTTGGCATTCGTGTGAGGCCAGGCCTTGGCAAGTTCAAACTTTGAGCATTCTGACAAAACGATACGAGACGCCACCCGACTGGCTTGCTGGATTCCTACATATTCCTATGAGGTCCGAGATCCATGGCACGAATGGGAGAGCTCCGAGGTACGCATAGGGCCTCGGTGCACTGCACTAGACGCAACATCTGCGACAGGCTGGAGCAACATGTGCGACGATGCATCTCAGAAAACCCTAAACCCTCAACCCTAAACCCTAAACTGCAGCAGCGGATGCTACTCTTGCCCGACCTGAAAGCTGTTGTTGCTCAGCATCCCACGTGCTACCGCTCTCCTGCACTGCACTCCAGTACCTGGAAGATGTCACATGCCCCGCTTCACTTTGAGTCAAACTTGTGCGAACAGGTTGGCAATCAGCAGCACAACAAAATCACTTTCATGTAGTTGTTGTACGTTTTGATACAGTAGCAGCTCCAACATCTGTCACATGGTTCTTGTGTCGTCGGGCAGTGCAGGCTCGACTGCTCGGTTGGCACTGTCGGATGATTTCGGCAGATGGATGCCCATTGTGAAGACCTTTGAGGTCTTTACTTGCGCACAAACATGCCCCAAACTGCACAGTTCTGACGGCAGGTGCTGTGGGCTGAGGTTTCGTCCAGGTCCAGGCTCGGGTGCCGGGCAAGGCGGGCAAGGCCTGAAATGCCGACATTTCAAGACACTCTGTCCGACTCTATCCAGCATTGGCACGATCACGTGCCTTGGCGGGCTTGTCAAGGGCGCTGGATGAGCTAGAAGGACTGGATCCTGCAAAGGATCTGGCTTATAAGGCAGGTCTCGTGTGGTCTGCGAATGAGCAACGGCGGAGCTCCTTTGCTCCTTTCGATGCGCCACTGGCAAGACTTCCCTGCGTGTGGTCTCCGTACGTGACACAGCTGCAGCAGTCTGCGGGCCTTGTCTTCGTCGCCCTCTGCAAAAGGCCTCGCACACGTGAACTCGCCCTTCATGACATAAAAGCCGCGTTTGGGGCGGAGATGGGCGTTCACGTGTGATGAACACAGACTCATGAGGGCGCGGCATCATTCCAATAGCTCCAGGAGGCAGCGAGGCGGCTGCAAGCCTACACAATATGTTGGTGAGGGACGTCCGGTGTTGGGCACAAGGTCTGGATCGTCTTCCGGGTGCATGTTCCTCATTTCTGCGAGTTTCCCCTTGCCTGGCCATCCGCTCCTTGACCGAGAGTGGTTTTGCGTCCTGTCGCAGAATCGCAATATCTACAGGAAGCCTTTCGGCATACTGACTGGTCGATAGGAGCTGAAAGTGGGAAAGATCCGAAGGAAGGGTCTGAAAGACAATGCATGGAACAGCGGGTTCATAGCTGAGACTGAAACAATCGAATGACGTTACCATGAAATGGGCTGCGAAAGCAAAGATGCTGTCCATGCGCGCACGTGCATATAATGACCCGTGACTTGCATCCCAGGAGTACTTGGAAGTTCATGGTACTTATTAACCAATTGTAACTGTACTTATAGCCCACTTATAAGCCCCTTAAGTGCCCTTTTCCTGAACTGTCAGCGATACCATGGAAATACCGAGGCCTATTGCGGTGCGGCTTAAGCTACGCCTCAAGCGATGTTCAGCTGAGACTGCCCAAAAAAACTGAGCAAAGGTCACATCGTAGATGGCCGACTTACAACAAGGAAGTGAAGCCAGAAAAACCCTAAACCCTAAACCCTAAACAAGCACAACTGACGTACCCAGCAAAGACCGAACCTGACCGACATGGGAGGCGTGTGGGGACCGCATTTCTTCAGAAGTACTTATTCCTCCATACTCTCCTCCAGCTTCCTTCTACAAAATCAGCAGGGGGCTGGAAGAGTTTGACTTCCGACCTGCCCCGAACGCCCACACACATAATTGAGCTTACTATTCTGCCCTGTCCCCAAATTGAACAGATTCTGCGACGCGATGCACGAAGTTTGCGACCCCACAGACTACTGCAGCTACTGCATCTAAAGCCTTTTCAGCTGCACTTGCGCGCTGAAACCGTGCATGTTGCAAGACTGTGTAAGTCAACACGCTTTTACATTTTTGACTCACAGACTGAGAAGGATTCCAAGTCATGTTCCCAACTCCTCACCTAGTTTTGTCATTGTAATTGCAGAATTGCACAAGGCGTGGAGGATGTACTTCCATGATGCCACATCAGCGTCCTGGCTGACATCGACTGGGCGTTCGGCTTCGGTGACACCTTCTGCGACGACCTGCACTCACGCGATCACCCCAGGAGACTCTTGTGGAGACTCTCGCTTTGCGAGCTTTGTAAACGAAGTCTGACCACCGTCTGCATCTTTTGCCCCTCTGTAACCAGATGCTAGCCTCCAGCAGCAGGACGGAATCATCACCTGAGCACATGCTCCCAGTCATCTGGG